TCATTTCTTGGTATAATAGATAATGTGAAATAGGAAGGAAAGGTCCAAAGGGGAAGGAGAAGTGGAAGGGGTAGGGGGAAAAGAAAGAAGGGAAAGGGATAAATATAGGAAAAGGAAAAAAATGGAAAGAAAGTCTTTTTAAATGGGAGGGGTGGAGGGTTTGAAAGGAGGGCAGGGGAATGGGGAAAAAATAAGAACCAAGATACTCATGTAAAGGTACAAATTCCCAATGATGAGTGTCATCATATTGTATACCTAAAATGTACCAATAAACATAATGAATAAAAAAAAAAGAAAGCATGTGATGTCTACACATCTAATACTGGCAATGGTAATTTGATTACTTGGTGAAGGTTATCCATTAGCTTCCTCCACTGTAGTTACTATATTTCCTTTTATAATTATGGAGAAATAATTCCAGACTATGCAAATGTCCTATTTGTCATTATATTTTTATCTACTATTTTTAGCATGTGTTGACGATACTCAATTTCAATAATTGTTAACGTGTGCTTGACAAGTGGTGTTTATTTATTTCCAATATTTCTTCTATATATTAGTCTGATATCTACATTTATCATAAACATTTTCTTATCCATTGTTTACACGTATTCAATTATGTATGTGAGTTTGGACTCATCATCTTTGTGCAGTAAAGCACAGAATGAACATTCAAGTCCATTATTTTTACTTCCTTTTTCTAAGTTATACAGAAGAATGATTAGCTGTGTTTTTGTGCAAGCAGTTGTGAATGTGTAGATATATGATAAATGATAGATAGATAGGCAGACAGACATACATTAAGTACAGTCTCACAGCCAAGACATACCCTATTAAATCCATAGTTATATCAATATTATATAACATTGCTATGGCTTATTAAGCATCCCATATTACTAGTTCCAATGAATTATTCCTACTCAACCTAAAAAAGAGGAAATAAAGGATAAATTCATGCTTTTATTACTTAAAGGTTATCTCTTATTGAAACCTGGAAAACTTAAAAGATAAAGACAAGGTATGATCAAAAACTCTAAGGAATGGTGGACATTTGGTAAATGCGGTAGATAAGGACATACTTTCATTCCTACAAGCTGGGTTTTCAGACGGATGCCACTCAGCAGCAGTATTCACTGTATTTTGGATCGCATCTGATAACAACATTTATGAAAGAGTACTTCCAGAACTGCTTCAGAATGTGGCAAGAACAATGGTATAACTGTGTTTGAAGTAAGGAGGAATATTGTAAGGAGTATTAATGGTAATATGTCTTTCACTGTAAGAAATTTTTATGAATTTAAACATCACTTTTTTTTTTTTTCTTTTTTTGGTGCTGGGGATCGAACTCGGGTCCTTGCGCTTGCGCAGCAGGCGGCGAAATCACTGAGCTAAATCCCTGGCCCCAAACATCATGTATTTTGATCACACTTCTTACATACATATTTTTTCATTCCTGAGATAACTTCCTGTTTGTTTGTAATCAACACCTACTCATGTGGTAAATGAAATCTTTTTTTGGTACCAGGGATCGAACTTGGGACCTGGGGTTTGCGAGGCAGGTGGCAGAACCACTGAGCTAAATCCCCAGCGCCATCTTAACTATCACTCTTGATAATAACACTCTAGTGTCCATCCGATGGCAGTGATGACCAGGCTGAAATCTCCATGGTGCCATGGATGACGTCATATAAGAAAGACGAATGTATTTTCCCTGCTAAAGAAATACCCTAAATGTTTAGCCCCTTTTTGCCACAGTATGTCTCCACTAATAGAAAATATGCATACATCTGGGTGTTCTTTTGCACTTTCTTATTTATTGTATTTCACTTTTTTAAACATCTACCTTTTAGCACTTCCTAGATCGTATACCTGAACGAAGTCAGTGTAAAATCCAACCACAAGGCACTGGCATCTATAATCCAAATATACCTCTAAAGGTTTCTTGTTTGCTTTTCTATCTGTGCAAATGTATTCTATAGACTCTGTGGTATTTAAGCATATGTATGTGAAATAAATACCTCAATGTCTTTTACAAAAACATTCCGCAGAATGCACTGAGCTGTATACTTGAGGCAATCCATTAACTTTAATTCTTTGCCTGGTCCATGCACACATATTGCAAATAAAGTTACATTCTTAAGCCACGTTATAAAATTCACATTAAGGAGCATCTTAGATCAGGCATGATGTTAAGAATCAGCTCTCACTATTAGGTGAATTGTGTGAAGTAAGTCCACACTCAGCACACTCAGAATCTTCTCTCAAGGTCAAGAACTTGAGAGAGTGTTTGGAAAAAAGAAATATGCATTTTTAATAAGACCACCAAATGTGCATACTGTGCTCCATACAGCACAGTATGAGTATTTGAGTGATAATAGCTACATGTTCATATCCTAGAAAGAAAATAAGATGTTAGACCATTTATTTAAACAGTTAATGTAATATGATCAATATAGTATATCTTTTGCTTAGGAAAGAGAAGCTCCTATTAGTATTCTTTCAAGCACAAGGTATAAAAAATAGTCTCCCTAAGATGCTATCATTAAAAATCATATTTAGTGACTTGCATTGGATTTAAAGTGCTTTTTTCTTCTTTCTCATGCTTCCCTTTTAAGTAAGGAAATAGATTTGCCATTTTCAGTGGGAAGTAACTTAATACTAGTCAAAGCTAACACACTTTTTGTAAAATGTAAGTCCGTTCATTTTGAATGACTATATAAAGAACTTTTTGGGCCTTTTAACCCATTGTCTTCTGCTGTAACAATATTCTTACACTTCAAGTTCATTAAAATATTAAATGACTTCACTAAATTTTAAGCTAAGTTTTTTTTAACTGCTAATTTTGATAGATGCACACATACACTTTAAGCACACATACATGCACATGTGCACGCACGTGCACGCGCACGCACACACACACACTCATGCTAAAGCTACTACACCTGAGACACAGCTATCATTTGACATTCTTCCCCTGGAAAACACTTGAGTATTCAAGTGGGTTCCTGAGGCTTTCCATTTCCCACTTCCAACTCCTCACTCCACCTTGTTTGGGATTTATGGATACTGTATAAGTTTTAGGGGAGTCATGCTTGTGTTCAAGACTTGACATTATTTTGCTAGCACTCTTATTCAGTTAACAAAGAGACAGTTATTCTCAGCAATATTTACTAGCCTCTCAATTTGAAACCTGTAAAATGTTCTTAAAGCTCAAACTTGCTTCCTTTAAAATACTATTTTCTCATTTTAATTCAGTTAAGTTCTAAATATGTATCCTCTCAAGATTAACATATTTATCAAAAATCTATTATGATTCTTCCTTTCTTTTTATATGGTCTGTTTTCCAAAAGGTTACTTATATCTTTACACGTATATCCTTAGGAATTAGTGCTTTTGGGTATATTTTAATTTTTAAAAAATTAATTAATCACCATTTTAAACTAAGAAAAGCTAAAATTGCCAAAAGGAAAGGATGATTCAAAAGGTTGTCAGATTTCTAAGTGTTTCAACTAAATATAAACATTAGGAGATATTAGATATTTGCAAAATATTGCTGGATTTTGATACAGAGTATTTGGTCAAAGTGTCTGATTATATAGATTATAATTTGGAGAAATTTCAAATTTAATCATAAATTACTCAATATGATAAACATCCAAAAATAAATTTTATCTTAGTTATGTGACTCCTTCATAACTTTGGACACAGCAGCTTATCTCAGTAATCTAGAAACATTCTCTTACTAAATTTGAGAAGAGAACGAGATAAATTACTTACTTGCTATCATAATTATGATATCATAGTTTACTTTAGCCTGGGCATATACACTGCTATAAATCCTACTAACCCAAATCCATAGTGAAAGAGTTAATGCTGAAATAATCTGGTTAATTGCCTGGATTTGGAAATGTGTTTGGTCATAATAATATAGTAGATACCCAGATTTTATGAGTTACATGGACACACAGGTGTGACCTCATTTCATTTTAAAGCAAATGCTATTCAATCCTAATATTGTTAGGGACAAATATCCCACCGAAAAGGAGAACTTGAATTAAATGACAAAATGGCTTTTTTGACTTGTCCTTTTCCTATGTGCACCCCAAAACCCCAGTGTCCCTTCTTGCTCTGTTGCTTGGCAGTTGACTAATCCTTTTTCGGCCTATAAATCCTTACAGGTGTATGCTAACTCTCGCATGGTCAATATTTTTATGAGTAGAGATGAGTTCCTATGCATTTACCCACATTGTGACTGTTTCAGTGAGAAATTTCTTCAGGATATGTACCAGGTTTTTAAAGCTCACTAGATTATTATCATTATCCTAGTGATGAATGAGGAGTCTAAGTCTCAGAAAGAGAAGGAAGCTGAGTGACGGCCACAGGCACACAAGGACAGAGCCAGAATTTGACTTTTAAACTTTGTACATCACTATGCTACCTTTAAAGACAGAATCTGCTGGTCCTTTTTTTCTCAATACACAGTGAATAACAATTACAATTTTCTGTTGAAATTATCAGAATAACTACAACTTAGGGACACACACACACACACACACATGCACACACTGATTTGAATAATAGTCTTTCAAGCTACCCAGAAACGCAATATCATAAATAAAAGAAACTTAGCAAAAGCATGTTACACTATTTCTACAATAAACTTTTTTTTTTTTTTGGTACCGGGGATCAAACTCGGGTCGTTCCACTTGCGAGGCAGGAGGTGGAACCACTGAGCTAAATCCCCGGTCACTATAATAATTTTTTTTGAAATCAAAAATGTTTCATCAGATTCTGTTTGGGTGGGTTGAATAGCACTGGAAAAATATTTTTAAGTGGCGTTAACTTGTTGAGAATGTATGTTTTAAAGATAGACAATTTAGGAACTACTAGTAAAGCAGTTTGGCACGACGCAAGCAATTGAGAAGCAGGTTGCAATATTGAGGGAGAAATGAAACCCATTCTCTGTCTTTATTTTAATTTGTTTTCATCTTCATTACAAGACACGGAATCACAGCTCTGTGAGGGCCAGAGCTATGGAAATCGGAGGAAATTGGACTTCACCGTGTTGGTGGCACACCCTGCCACCCTTGCCAGGAAAGGAAACGGGAAAAGGAATCTGAGAAACCTCAGGACAATTACAGTTCATTTCCATACCCTGACTGACAATGTACTACCTCCTGCTACGGACCGACGTAAGCCTCTTGTCACACCAAGCTCTTAGGCAAATGGAATGGGACCAGATGCAAGCGATTTAATAAGAACTTTGCATAAGTAATTATTTAGTTATTGATTGTTGCTTGGAGCTGTATCATTCTGAATGGTTCAAAAGCTTGCATCCTAAACTAAGGTAAGTAAAGAGAAGTTGGATGCTCAAGGTAGTAAAAAGAGGCTGAATTTTTTTTTTGGCATTTATTGAGTTAATTGTTTTTCTTTTTCCTTAACATACACTGAGTAGTTATATAATATAAAAAGCTCCTTTTCATATCCCTCAATGTGTACTCGGACTCCACATATAGAATACCCCCTCCCCTCCAAAAAAAATTCAGTCGGTGCCAAAATCTACATTTTCATTTGGCGAACTAGTTAAATCTATTCATAATCTGGTGCCTGAATCAAATTTCAGAGCCGACTAGACTGCCTTGGCTCCTGGTTTTTGTTTCTCGACCTGTCTCCGACTGAATTTAGCTATGATGTTACATCTTTAGCTGTAGAATTTCTAATAAGAGTGGCCTGTTTTCCTTTGCCGCTGAGGGGCTCCTACACAAGACTCAGCATTTCCAAGCAGGGGCCCTTTGGAGCCACTGTGGAGCATTCTCTGGAAAGAAACTCCTTGTTTCTTTAACTTTTTTCCTCTTTTTTTTTCTCTAAATGTTCACTTTAATGGCTCTCACACTACATAAAACTCATGTATTCTGCAGTGAATAAATTTTGCAGACAATGTTGTCAAGAATCAGGAGAGAAAGCACGGAGATCTCAGGATTTAGTTGTAAAGACGTGAAGGATTTTTCTATTTGTGAGATGGCAAGCATGTGTGAAGACCGAGCAGGAGCGGACTATGAGGCTCTGAAAGCTAGAAGGAATATTCGGGAATATTCAGAAGAAAGATTGTTGTTAAGACTATTGATAAACGAAAAGGTCTCCAACACAATATGGGAACATTGTTAATACGTTTATGTAAAAAAAAAAATCTAAGTAAATATGGCAGTTTAAAAAATGAAGTAACATTATCTTTGTTTATAAAATCTCCAGTGACTTAACTGTAACTATGTGTATGCACATTACTTTCTAATGTTTTGTGGTTGTTTTGTGTTCAGTGGACTAAGGAAAAGGAAGAAACGCACAAGATCAAAGCACCCTAGGAAAGATTCAGTTTCCTGCATTGGTTACCTGGTATAATTATTTAACTGCTTCTGTTCCAGTTTCTTCTACAGTCCACAGAGATAATAAGAACAACTTGTCTATGAGGTGTTCATGAAGATTTGGCTACTGTATATACATACTTATATTGTACGTGGTACCTAGTCAATAATTACAATTCTTTTCTTTCTTTCTTTCTTTCTTTCTTTCTTTCTTTCTTTCTTTCTTTCTTTCTTTCTTTCTTTCTTTCTTTCTTTCTTTTTTTGGTACCAGGAATCTAACTCGGGACCTTGAGCTTGCGAGGCAGGTGGTGGAACCACTGAGCTAAATCCCTGGCCCAATTACAATACTTTTTATGAACTCTATAGGATTAGAGTACCTAATATTTCTCACACTGAGGGTTTTAGAGATTTTCTGAATATATTTGGTAAAGACTTTTTGCTTTTTGAATGGATAAAAAAAAGCCATGTATTGTTATTTCTTGATATTATTATTTCCAGCTGCTTTGAAATTTGCTTGGCAATAATACTTGGAAAGAAAGAAGGAAAGAAGGAAAGAAGGAAGGAAGGAAAGAAGGGCTAGAGATAGAAAGAAAGAACAAAAGAGAAAGGAAGAGAAAACACAGGGAGGGAAAGGAAGAGGCAGAAATAAAGATAAAGAAGGAAGGCCGACAGGAAGGAAGGAAGGACTGGGCGTGTATATTATTGGTAGAGCATTTGTCTAACTTTCAAGATCTCCTGAGTTCATCTACAGCACTGCAAAAGACAAGAAATAACAACCAAAAGTAATTATATTTAATGGCATAAATCTTAAGCAGTTAAATCTTAAAGATAAGCAAGGAGTACTCAGTATGACATTTAGTATTATTTTGGTATTAGTGTATGTGATGGCTAATTTCACGTGTCAAAATCACTGGTATGGGATATTCAAATTAAACAGTATTTTTTTTTTTTTTGTACCAGGAAACAAACTCAGGTCCTTGTGGTTCCAAGACAGGTGCAGTGCCACTGAGCTAAATCCCCATCCCTTTAAACACTATTTCTAGATGTGTTTGTGAGAATGTTTAATGGATCAGATTAGCATTGGAATTAGTAAAGTATATCACCCTCCTCAATGTGGCTGGCCAGGAGGGAGGAATACATCCCTTTACATGCTTCATTTTTTCTAAATCACTGCTTGAGCTGAGACATCTTATTTCATCTTCTCTTGCCCACTAAATAGGATCACACCATCAGGAGCTGCTTTTGAACTAGGATTGAATTAGATCATTAGATTTCCTGGGTCTCCAATTTGCAAATGGCAAATTGTGGTACATCTCTGCCTCCATAATTATATGACTCAATCCCTCATAATAAAGTAATATATGTAGATTTACATAATATACATAGATTTATAAATTTATATACTTATGTTTCTTTGTGTGTGAATTATATGTGTCACAGTGTGTTTTTCTTTGGATAATCCTGACTATTACAGTATGTTTAAAAATCCTTTTAAGTCCTCTTTTATGGCAAACTTTATACCTTCTGAAGGATGATAGCCTGTGAGAATCTTCAACTCTACTCCCATATTGACTGTTTGATTCTTCACACTATGGAAAGCTGAAAAAAACCCCAATTTTCCCTTAATAACCACAACAAAGCACCCCCAAACCTACCAAGAAATAGCATTCATATGTGAATACTAATTTTTCTCCAATTTCTCTACAAATATCAGAGAAAATGCATTAGCACCACCAAAAATAGAAATAGTAAACGTTTTCAGCAAGAACAAGAGTCCACTGAGGAATGCTGGAGGTGGAAGAAGTACCAGAAACAGTGAACAGAAATTAGAGAAAGTGTAGGTTCCCACCGAGATTAAGTTCTCTGCTGTGTTAATAACTTTTACATAATACATTTTTTCAATTTTTCTTTTTTATTATTTATTGTTTTAAAAGAAACCAGTTACTCATAGTGCACCTTTTCTTTCCCATTTTCTCCCCTGTTTGGAGTACTGAGGCTTGAACCCAGGTAAACTACATCCTCAGCCATTTTTTGAACTTTTAAATTTTGAGACAGAGTCTCACTAAATTGTTCAGTTTACCAATCTGGGCTAGAATTTATGATCCTCCTGGCTCAGCTTCTCATTAGAGTGCTGACATTAGAGGTGTGTGTCCCCACCCCCAGTTTATTCTTTCCCAGTTTTACGATTCAGCGTTGTTAAGCTCCTCATGCCATTCCCTACATGTATTCCTCTTTGTTACATATTTTTCCCTCTGAAAGTGCAAGTGCATTGGTGTGAATCCTTTGTCTAAGCCAAAGCCTAAGGGTTGTAGTAGTAAAAGGTCATGAACGACTCTCTCAGCCAATAGAATTTAAGCCAATTCTCTATTAAGTAGGGATCCTTCCTGGCTTTTCTATTCTCGACCACATTTTTGCTTTCCTTTTTTTTTTTTTTGTAATTTCCTTCCGAACATCCATTTTGAAAATCTTTTAGACTTTGTCTTTATTTTATTTTCATCACTCTGATGAACAATACCAATTTCTTTTATTAGATGAAAAGGGAGAGGGCTTTTGTCTTTTTGATCATAATTATTTCTTCTGTTCCCATTGCCTAGCAAATTGCACATTGTAGGTACTCCATAAATTTTTATTAAATGGATTTACTAAATGGGTTGCATGAAAAATAATTTTCAACAGCTCATTAATTAATTCAGGCTTAATACTTGTTAGGCAATATTATTCAGGCCAGCAGTATTATTGAGACATCACATAATGACAGTTATTTACTGTAGGTATTTCAGTTGGACAGTAGGGATTTTATGATGAAAGACAAAGAAGCAAACAATAAAAACACATTAAAAAACAATGATAAACCAATTATGCCTTTTCCAATCAAATGTTATGGTCTCTTCTCAAGTACCTTTTATTTTAATAAAAATTATTTCAAAAATATCAATGTAACTATAAAGATGACTTAGATGGCTTGAGGTGCAGGTTGCATAATACTTCCATTTACCTATTTATGACTAACATTCAGGGACATCGGAGAAATTATCCACATGCAATAAAGCATTGTTACACTGTTTTCTTAAATTTACTTATCCAGACTTCTGCTGATTTCATCTAGGTTTTAAGGAAATTCAATAGAACTAGTACAATACAGGCTAATGAAAGGGAGAGAATATCTACTCATATCTATTGTTATTTTTAAAGTAAATTTTCAGTTCCTTTCTTGGTAAATATAATGGAGAGCCAAGGGATTACCATGCCTTTCATGGTCCAAGGCCAACATCACCCTTGATGAAGCATTTTTTCATTTCCTTGACTCTTTTCTCTATTCATCTAGCACTCTACTCCTATCTCCTATTGGTCATTATTCAAGTGATAATACAACTATTTGTGTAGAAGATCACCATGTAAATTCTATGAGAGCAGGGGTTGTTCACATTCATGTTCTAAACAAGATACTTAGAAAAGCACTAAATAAATCTCTTTTGCAAAAATGCAGCTAGGGAAATCATGCCCCAAATAAGATTTACATATATTGAAGTGACTTGAGAGTTGCAACAGGCATACCTTTCTCCTTCTGTTACTAGGAAAATCCCTGTACCTCACAGAAAGCAGCAAACACATTGTGTTTTGACATGTTCCCACATGCCCACATAAACCTCATTTAGGTTTTAAGGTTTATGTGTCTGTGGGTGGCCCTTGTCATATCTAACCCACTACCAATGAGTCCGTGCCATGGTCAATGTGGTTGCCATGGTCCCAGGA